CATCCACTAGCTAAGTTTACTTTGACGGAAAAAATTAAAAGCAAAACAAACCTAAATTAGCCTATTTGGAGCAAGATTGCCAATGTTACCTCGAGTGACCAGAAACAAGTCAGCTGGACCAGACGGAATTCTAGCGGAAATGCTAACAGACTTAGATGACTTTGGCATAGACAAGATCACCGAAATAACAAATGAAATCTATAACAGCGGGTATTTACTGGAAGACCTCAGCAAATCTATCTTCATAGCTATGCCTAAAAAACTAGGCGCAAACGAATGCGAACTCCACCGAACAATAAGCCTAATGAGCCACATGACAAAACTCATCATCCGTATCCTGTTGAATAGAGGGCGCAGCAGAATCAGGCCAGAGATAGGACGAGAACAGTGCAGGTTCGTTAAAGACACCGAAACAAAGAACATGATATTCATGCTCAGAACGCTATCAGAAAGAGCAATACAAATGCAGAAGGACGTATACCTATGTTTCATACACTACGCAAAGGCCTTCAACAAAGTACACCACAAGGATCTGATGGAACTGCTCAGCAACCTTGATATATTCGGGATGGATATCAGAATAATCAAGAATCAATACTGGCAGCAAACAGCATGCATGTCCACAGGGAACAAGTTCAGTGAATATATAAAAACAGAAAGGGGCGTAAGGCAAGGATGTGTCTTTCCCCCCGGCCTGTTCAACCTATACAGCGAGGTAATTCATAGAGAATTGGAAAACCTACCGGGATTTAGCATTGGCTGTCACATTCTTAACAACATAAGATACGCAGACGACACAGTACTGATAGCAGACACAGAAGAGAAATTGTAAAATCTCCTACAGAAGGTAGCGACGGAGAGTGAGAAGAAAGGACTAAGCATAAACTACAAGAAAACAGAATGCATGCTTATTAGTAAGAGGAAGAGCCCGAAATGCGATTTGCAGGTCGAGAACACTAGAATCAAGCTGACGCGGAAGTTTAAATATCTGGGAAGCCTCTTGACAGAGGACGGTAAATGCGACACTGAGATCCGTAGACGTATTGGGATGGCCAAGAACACATTCTAAAAGCTGAGCAGTGTATTGCGAGACATGAGAATTTCTTTGGTAGCAATGAAAAGAATACTGAGCTGTTACGCGACATCTGTTGTTCTTTGCGGCAGAGAATGTTGGACGATTTCCTCAAAGATGAAGAAGAGACTCGAGGTGACGATGTGGTTGCTAAGGATATCATGGACCGAGCCTGTGAGCAACGATGAGGTCTTAAAGGGGTTACAGACAAGGATAAAGCTTATACTTAACATCAGAAAGAGGCAAGCTGAAGTTCTTGGGATACATAATGAGGAAGGAGGGCCTGGAGAATCTGATACTCACTGGTCAAATAGAGGGAGAGACAAGGGAAAGTAGCGCGTGACATACCTGACGAGCTTGAGCAGGTGGATGACAGAACGTGGTCAGGGGGAGGAAAAAGTGGGAAGGAACTTGCTGAGAGCTGCAAGGGATAGAGGGAGGTGGAAAGACATGATCGCCTACGTCCTGAAAGGACATGGCACATAAAAATAAAGTCAGCTCTTTGTTACTCGACACAGACGCGTAAAACTCAACCACCTTTCGCCAGATTCCAATGGCGGGAGTCGTTTCCATTCCGTCCTTATCTTGACTTTAAGCTGATGCCTAAAGAACAAGATCAATTGTTTTAATAGTTTAGTATTTTATTTTGTAGAACGATATTTGGTCTACTAGCTTTTTTTTCATCTCATCAGCATTTTTTAAGTTGCACTGTTTGAATAAACTGCACTGAGGCGCATTGATTTTTTCTCATCAACTTCAAAAATATGTTGTCTTAGATTTACAACAATATGTAAACAGTTGGGTAGCAAAGTGGAAACGTTGGATTTGTTGAATGTGGCGTCAATTGACTTGTCACGTAGGCATGATTGTATATTTATTAATCAGCAGAATGGATGTGTGGGCAAATAGTTCTGCTTAGCTGAAAGCAGGTTAGCGCAACTCAGGTTTGCTACTGCACATACTATATTTTCAGAAAAAAGACAGAAGCATCAGTAAAACATGACAGTTTAGTATTTTAAACAACCAACTGCGCTTGAACAAGATAAAACTATATCAACCCGCCAAACAAATTCCTCGATAGCAATCTGTCTCTACAGTATCCGCTCTTTAGATACACGAGGTAGAATACAAAAGTTTAAAGTCTCTGATCATTAAAATTACTCTAAAACCGACTTTACACTGTCTTCCGTTTGCTAGTATTTACTAAATTTTACTTAGTCTGCCACACAAGCCATGAACCCAGTGAAGATCAAACTCACAACTCAATAATGAGTCAAAAAGATTATCTCAGTAAGCATTACCCTAATCTGATGCATCCGTTATTTATTTAGCTTCGCTTATTTAATTACAAGGCCACAAATATGAGGAACCCGGTGATGATCGAACTCACGACTAAGCAGCAATGGTCAACAAAATTAGCTCGTTAACTATTACCTCGTGGTGAGTTTTCGGCCATAAGCCTAATCTCCTTCAAAATAGTATCCTTGGACAGGTAAACGGCGATTTCAGTAAGGAACCTGCTCACAATTCGTGCGCATTGTTTACATTTTCTTCCACTTCGTTTCGCCACATATACAGCAAAAGAATACCTATCAGAGAGGTAGCCTGCCTCTTTCATGCATACACCTGTCAGTAGTAACCTGCCTCATCCCTGAGATAATAGTTACGTGTGCCCCCAATTAAAAAGTCTGTCTGTTATTTTAACACTTATTATGTAAGAGTATCTGCAATTTTCATTTAAAATGGTGGATCAATGATCATTCAATGAATATGTAGCGGACCGTGTATATTTACGTGTTGTATTGGAAACACGTGTTTAACTTCTGGTAGAATATTAAAAGGTCCAACTACAAGAAAATTGTCGGACTCAAGTTAAGTCCAACTGAAGATAAAGAAGACAAACAAACAAGACCGATATATATATATATATATATATATGACAACAAATATATATATTAAACAAAACAATTTTACAGTGGACATAGACAGTTAATATTGTGTTTGTGTGTGAACATTTGTGTTTGTTCGTTGGAGAATGTTCATATTTTGGTGAATGTTTGTACGTACGTGTATGTTTATAATGTTTATAGCGTCTTCCTAGAAATGGGAAACGCTGTGTTCACTGAAATGAAGAAAGAAGAGAAAGAGGCAAGAAGCTTTCCAGTATTTATAGTATTGGGAGAATGACCCCTAGTGAAGAATTTGGGAATTAAGGAGAAGCTAACTCCGACAAATAGTGTTCTTTTAACACTTACTTTAATAAAAAACGCTACCTTCTGTTTTTCAAAATTTACCAAAAATTAGTGAATTATCTGGTTTAAAGTAAATTTTCATCATTTATTCATTAATAAATGAATTGTGTACTGAATAGTTTCTTTCATTAGACAATTTTATATAGATATTTGTGAGGTTCAGTTACTCTCCTATTTCGATATATTGTGAATACTTTCAAAATTGGGGGCGATATAAATATATTTTTTTTTATAGTTTTATAAATCGAAATCACTGAAGATCTTATTTCAGTGAACAAAAAAAAAAAAGAAAATGCAATATCAAATCAGAATATCTAGAAAATTTGTCCTGACACTTCACAAAAATAATAAAACTTCAAAAAATAATTTTCATTTAGAGTCGGTGCTTGCATAATTTAATAAAGCATTAATTACTTTCAGATTGAACAGGAAAAAATCTACAATGAATACTTTCTTAAAGATAACTTGTAATTTGGTTGAAAGAAAGTTAAATGAAAGTTACCAATAAATAGTATAAATTCTATAATTCTTTATCAATTTGTTTTTCGATATATTTTAAGCGTACAGTAAGAATTGTTTTTCTAAAATGCTTTTAATCCTTAATTTTACTAATTTTTAAAAAGTAATATCTAGTGTAAGTAGTCGATTTTTACGAGATTTTCAATTATCTTAAATTTTAAGCCATACTTTTTCATTTAAAATGGCGGATCGATGGTAAATTGAGCATAAGAACGGCTTAAAAATATCTTAGAGCTTTATTAAAATGCGTAAAATTATTTTTCTTTATATAACTTCAATCAGCTAAGTGACAAACTTGTACTTACATTAATCATATATATATATAAAGCTTTATTCTATCATCTTTCAAATTGAATCAAAGTTTTTAATGCTAACTTTAAGAATATCACCACTTTTTACGTTTTTATTCATTTATATGAGACGTTTCAGTTTTTTTGTGAGAACGCACCAAACTTATCACGGATTTTCCAGTTCAAACAAGTTTCCCCAATTTTAACGCTTATTGTGACATTGCCATAAAAGTTTTTCACCCGTCCACTCGAGAGTATTTTAATTTAAGTTTTAACTTTAATACAAAGTAAGAAAACTCACAACTAACATCGTGGTCAGCATATTGTTGTTACTAGGTTAGTGGCCCTGCGTTGAGCAAAAAAAAAAAAAAAAAAATTTAAAAATGAGAAAATAAACAAAAGAGTGATTCTTTTCCTGAACGTCATTCTACGGTCCAGGTGGCTCCACTTGGTGAGCAAATTAGGCGACAGAGTTAAAGAAGAACAGTATGGAAATAAATAAAAATGAACTGCGGAAAAATGTCGAAATATAGCAGAAACTGGAAAGTTCTGAAAACAAAAAGTCCTTCACACACAGAGGCACAAAAGAAATAAAAACAAACGACTCGATTGATTTATTTTTACGGTTTAACAACCCTTTGCAGAGTATTTAAAACCAGAAAATATTTGTTGGAGTGGAAGAATTTTTTTTAGATAATAATTTTACTGATAAAAGTCCTACTATGTAATACATAGCAGAGTGGAGAAGAGGTAAATGCATACCTTCCCCAAGGTTAAGTACATATAACGAGCCCAACTGGAATTGAATCTCCGCTCTCCGGTTAAGAATTCCGAGCCGTTATCCGCTACACCAACCGCACATATAAGCTTACAGCACCTGGTGTTCTCAAGCCGTCGTCCATTAAGGTACTGACCAAGTTCGGCGTTGCTTAACTTCGGTGATTGTACGTGAAAAGGTGTTTCAACGTGATATGGCCGTAAACCCGAATTCCAGACGTTTGTGGCAAAACCGGCGCTAGGGTCTTGCAGGCCTCCCACCCCGAAATTTTGATACGTAGCCCCACTCTCTACTACATGTCGATTTAAGTTTCCCAACCTGGGGGACACATGCCTTCGAAGGAAAATTGTGGGAGCAGCGATTTTTTTTATTACAAAAAATTAGGAAATCATCCAATTTAAATGAAAATTTCAATACATATTCATTAATCATTTACTTTTTATAATGAATAGTTTTATTTTAAAAAAATCTGAGAAAATGCTGTTTTTGTAATAAAGTCATTTTCATGACTAAATTTTACTTGAAAATGTTTAAGTCTCAAAGTATTACGTTTTCATAAAGATTAATTGCCGACGCATCTCCATTGAAAAAAAAATCATTAAGATTTCAACACAACACATACGGGATTGTCTTACTTAAAAAATTGTTTTAAAAACAGTATTTCAGTTTTCGGGGAAATTATTCATTGAATTATTGAAATCTTTAAACATTTTTAATTTTTAAGCGATCGTTTTTTCGTTTTTATCTTTCTAGAAATGTAAAAAATAGGGACTAGAAATTTTATTTTAATTACTAGACGTGGACTTTTGACTAATACTACTTTTATTAAAAAAATAAATATTCAGAGATCGTCCTTAGTGGATGATCTGAGAATAAAAATGATTTTATCGAGATACCCTCTTAATTGATTTAAAAGAAAGAAAATTACAATTTAAAAAAAATAATCGCTATTGAAATTAGCACTTCGGTGCCTCCTCCCCAGTACGCAAGGGGCCTCAACGCAGTTGAGAGTTTCGGGATAGTAAGTACCCACCCTGTCGACTATTATCATTGATGATCGACAATATAAAATAAGGTAAAAAAAAAAGTGTTATAAAATAAAATAAGACATATCTCGGCTGATTTACAGGCAAATAAACTAACATACTCAAGAGCGAGAGCCGGATGTGAATGGGACAAGGCCCTGTCACAAAATGACCATTATCTTCGTTTACGCATGTCCCCGACGCACGAGTTCCGGTCGAAAAATAAAATAATATTTTAAAGTGTTTCTATTTTTCGACCAGTAAAAATGCTTCCCTCCTAATTATACTCGCGTCGTTTTTCGAGCCTGTTAAGCCATAAAAAACGCCATAAAAGGGATCACACGGAAGTACAACGGCAGTCAACAGGAGGCCGGGGAAGAGACCTGTCACGGTCAGGTTGAGCGGTCAGCGGCAACCAGCAGCAGGAGCGCCACGCCAACCAGTGTGAACTACTATGAGAGATCAACCCAGATTCGAAGCCGGCTTATGAAATATACCACAAGGTAGCTGTCCCAAACCCACACGTTCCTGTTGAAATAAATCACGTAAATCTATTTCTGCTGTTGTCGTATTTCTTTCTTGCAACCATACGCTTGTCTATAACTGTTGTGTATGATACACCTAATTTACATAAGCGGACTACCGACCATATAAATATGGGTTGGTACCGGAAGACGGGGAAGATAGTAGAGATTAAGAAATTGAATCCAGAGACTCTGCCCGACTGCGATTTAGTCAACCCATTATGCAGGAACAGTCTTCCCAAGAATATACCAAACTAACTGTAAATATTGTGTACCTATTCTTTGTTTCAATACATTTTGTTAACGTACATTTTGTGTTGTATTATTCCATGCTTATTTAAGCTTCAACAATAACAAAAGTAAAACGTACAAGCAAAAAAACAAACCAAAAACAAACCAAACCAAAAACAAAACAAAACAAAAAGAAAACAACAACAAAAAAAAAAAAGAAGAAGAAACGCTGCTGAAATTAGCCCTTTTGGGGTCCCAAACTCGTCGGGGGTTCCTGCGTAGTACGCATCGCACCGCCCATGCAAATACACGCTTGTATATTATTAATTGATGACTTACAATGTAACGTCAGTTTAAAATAATTGTAAAAAAAAAATTGCGGATGGCCATGAAACAGTGCTGAAAAAAATGGCAGAGCCCACAACGGGGCCCCCAAAAACACGCCTTCCCGGTCAAGGGTAGGACGCCCTGGTTTGGGGTTTATGGCCATAATTAATTAACAAAAATTCTATCACTAAATCATTATCTCAAAAAAAATATTCTTACAATCTAAAAATATTTTTTGGCTTTAATTAACCTGCAAAAGGATGATAAGTCATAGGAATCTAATCAATCAATCAGTTAATCAACCTCGAATCCATACGAGAAGTATTTTTCTGAAAATTACCCTCTGGGACTTAGAACGAGTGAAGGTATCTATTTACCTAGCAGAAGCCCACGGTTATAAGGGCCTTGGGTAACTCTGTTGTTTACATATATAATCATCATCATCAGTAAGTTCCATTTCAAGTTAATCATTTTCCCTCTATAACGATGACGATCTCTTTCTCTATTATCTTCTTTTCATTTTTGATATGTAATACTCTTATCAAGGTTGACAATTTGGATGTACTATGTCTTCTGCCGTTCGGGCATTGCCTTGGCATCTTGGTGGATGCTTTAATGCTAGTTGTGAATCAAATAATTTGAGAATTATTTACAACACACTACATTTATTTTTGATAACACAAAATACAAAAGACAATATTACATATACGAACATGCAATAATATATTGGATTACTTTTGGTTTCAAACTTAACAAATACATATAAATAGATTATAACTTTGTTTTAAACTCCAGGAATATAACTTCATTATCAAAGTTGTCACCTTGTGACATAGAGTAATGTAAGATTGGAAGTGACAAATATTCAGGGAGCAAACTGTTCACGTATAAAAATGTTCTTTGAACTTGTCTTTGAATTTTACATTTATAGCTATATTTTTGCGTGCTTTCTTCGATTGGTTAATAATATTTTGGCGCACTTTATTCTGATTGGTTATTTTTGCTCATACAACTTTTAAAAATTTTCTTAATTTGTATTTCATTTTGTTTTAAATCTAAAATATGAACTATATTGTCCTATCGACTCTAACTTGACACACTGATTGCTTTCCAATAGTTTAATTTGCCTTAATTTTAAATCCTATTATATTCAAAGTTGTTCAATTATTTGTTAAATTATATGCTATTTTAAGTTGTCAAATAGTTTAAAGTGTTTTTTTTTAATTTCCAAGTTTATTCATTTTGTTAATATTAACATAGGATTTTGGCACATATAGTCATGCCGTTGTAGGGGCTCTGTGTTTATTATATTAATGATACTTCCACGTACAGGATTCAAGTAATAATAATAACAACTGCAATTTGTTAACCAAGAAATATATATTGAATAAAATACAACAAGCATAAAATAATTTTGTATTCACTATGTAGATTAAAGAGAAGGAAGTTGTTTCCCGTTAACTGTAAATTGATTGTAATTAATTGTTTCAAGAAAGTTCTCTTGTAAGATATATGTTCCGAAATAATTGTTAGAGCAAAGTTTGCATGCGAAGAATGAATAACACGAAGAATACAATTGCTTGGATAAACTGGTTTGAATCAACAAATTTCTAGGTGATTTTGCTTGGAAAAGTCACAGAGAGAAAATGTAAGTTTGTAATTACGAAATTCTGTGTCTGTGTGTGCGTTGAGCAAGATCGTGGATTTGTGTTGACAGCTGGAATCTTACTGGATCTTACTGGCGACTTGCGAAAAATCGCCCCTTTTAAGGGAAAAAAAGTAGGCTCCCACGGAAAGCTTGATCTTACATTAAAAATATGTGATTGGTTAAAAATTAACCAATCACTACACTCGTACTAAACAGAATAGATAAGTATGCTCAGAACCAAAACATTCAAAGGAACGACTGCGATAGCTAAATTGTCCTATACAAAGGTAGTGCTAATTTATTAGCCAATCGCAGGTGAATAAAATGACTTGGAGTGGAGTGTATGTGGGTGTGAAAACACAGCAATCGCTATACTGTCATTGCAAGATATTTCAAAAAACATTATTAGTAATCACAGTATATAAAAAACTGCTTAGTCATTTGTAATAATTCGTCTTGTTTATTTCACATAATTTTCTGATTAAATATTAAATACTTCTAACGAATTCCGTAAGAGTGTCTCCCTGAATGCAGACACCCCACGTGTAATAAAGCAATTCTTGGTCTATAAACATTTTCTTTGCTTAGAATTGTAAGAAAATATTTATTTACATAGAGGTAACGTATTTCATTGGAAACGTTTCGATAATTGTCTACAAGATGTAATTGTACACACATAAAAGACCTGATATAGTATATTCCTGGAAAGAGGAATAACATAATTACTACGTTTTCGAATGTCATAATGTGGGGTTGTGAAGGTATATTCATTTACACCATGTTGTCATAAAAATTGGGCTTGTGTTCATGAGGAAAAACAGTACAAACAAACAATAAGACAAACATAGTATGGTGAATTGTATGGTAATTTCATACAATTTTATTTATGTATTTGTGTGTATTAGTGTGTGTGTGTGTTTTACATTCCAATTGTGATAAGGCTCATGTTATAAAGGGGAGTAAGTCACTGCATTATATCACAAATCCTATTGTTGGGATTGCTATGAGTTTGAATATCAGAAGGTTTTATATTAAGATGGTTAGTTTACGGGTATGTTCACCATATCAATCCACAATAATATAGAATATAGACATTCAAAAACGAATCAATCACAAGGCAATTGAGTAAGAAACATCGATTATGAGATTTCAATAAAACAACATGCATTTATGTACAATTAATATACAATTTGAAAACTTGTAGTTTGATAATGCAAGAAATTGACCATTGGTAAATTGTGTTTCTTATTGATTTACAGTTCAAATTTGTTCAAGTGTTTAAGAACTGGTCAAACAGAATTAAGTGGAAAATATTATTTATACAGAAATTTGTGTAGTTTGCATGCGTGAATAAAGTAGGAGTTTGTATTTGTGTATAAAGTAGGGTTTAATTGTTTGAATTCTCCAGAGCTGTTTACCTTGGATTGTTCTGTGTTTGTCTTTGTTTAAAATACAACATCTATTTTAGTAGTGTGTAAGAACACTTTTCTTAGAAAGTTGTAAGTGAGATGTGAGAGGAGATTATGTTGATGTTTGAGTCAGCAGTTGACGCGCGAAGTATCTTAAGTCAAAGTAGTGACACGCGTGGATTAGTGTGGCATCTCTCTGAAGTTTATTGACTGACTGGTGAATTGGGTCGAGATGATCCTTTTTATTTGTTTCTGGAAACCAAAACAGGCTCCATCGAATTGGGCGCGAAAACAGTTTTTCGACAATTGTTACATGTCTCGACCAATAGAAAGTCGAGATTTGCAATGCGAGGTGTTGGTTGGCTAAAACTGATTCTGATGGAAGAGTATATTTTATTTCGGAGGTGAGTATGAAATATGGACGATTCTATAAATACCCACTCGAGATTAACGCTGAACGTAGTATGGACATTAATATGTATAGAATGTTGTGTATTTCGCAGGCCAATGAACACGCCTGCCGGTCGTATTCCGTGTAGGTAGGTTGGTTTGTGTTTCAGGTGTTGAGGATGGATATACGTGTGAGGGTTCTGAAACAGGTGATTGTTGAGTAGTCAAAGATCTATCGTCATCACTGATGTAAGCTGGTTTCAATCGGTCGATACTGACCGTAGTATGTTTTCCGGCTAGATCTAATACAAAGTACTTCGACGCACGAGAAATAACTTTTCGGTCTTGTGTAATTAGGGGTTAGCGGTTTGCGAACCATATCTCTGCGGAGAAAAACGAAATTGGCTCGATGTAGATCAGCTGGAACATAATATGGCTTATGGTAAGCTCTGGTCGGCGTATAAATCGTTTCAGACATTTTTTGCCGAAGGTCACTGACAAACTTGCTAGTAGGTAGGTTATCTGATACAGGGCCGAAAATCTGTCCTGGCAAGGTTAGGGAAGTTCCAAAAACCAATTCAGCATTGGTACAGTTCAAGTCCTGCTTGACAGTATTTCTTAAAGCCAGCATAATCAGGGGAAGTTTGTCAACCCAAGTTTGGCCGTTGGTTGAAGCAGTAATTGCATATTTAAGCTGTCGGTGAAATCTCTCTACAAGGCCATTAGAACAAGGGTGATACGCTGTAGTGGAAATGTGCTTAATTCCTAGTAGATTAGTGAATTCAGCAAAAAGTGCCGATTGAAACTATGGACCTCTATCGGTAGTGATTACCGAAGGGCATCTGAAAATTGTAATCAATGATTGAAAATAGCATTAGCCACTGATTCAGCTGTAACCGATTCCAAGGGAATAGCAACTGGCCATCGCGTAAAGCGATCAATTATTGTTAAAATGTACTCAAATCCATTCACACGTTCGAGTGGACCCACTAAATCCGCATGCAGGTGTGTGAAACGTCCGTCAGGGTTGGCAAATGTTGATGCAGGTGCTCTTGTATGTCTGGTAACTTTGGTGGCTTGGCAACGTAGACACGTGCGGGACCACTGTTTAATGTCAGCTGCCATACCAGGCCAGATAAATCTGTCTGATATGGTCCGCAACGTTGCCTTGCCTCCTGGGTGTGCTTGCGAGTGGAAATGATCAAAAATGAGACGGCGCATAGACGGCAGTATATATGGACGCGGGTTACCCGTACTGGTATCGCAGTTGACCGATCTGCTCGTAAATGGGAGCGATCGTTTCTCAATATTTAAAGAAGTATCCGATCGGACGGCTTGTAAGGTTTTATCTTTCATCTGTTCGTCTGCTAAGTTGTTAAAATTAAGTGTTGTGTTTTGAATTGCACTAAGTGTTGTTCGAGAAAGTGCATCGGCCACAGTGTTGCTGGTTCCACTAATGTAGCGAATGTCAGATGAAAATTGTGATATATAGTCCGTGTAACGAATATCTCGTGGACTGTGTTTATCAGACATGGTGTGCAGGGCGTACATTAGTGGTTTATGGTCAGTAAAGATGGAAAAGTCACGTTCTTCCAAAATATACCGGTAATGTCTGATGGCTAAATAAATCGCCAACAGTTCACGGGAGAAGGTACTATATTTCCGTTGGACCGTATTAAGTTTGACAGAGAAAAACGATAACGGTTTTTCCACACCGTTAACGACTTGGTGTAGCACTGCACCGACTGTATATGACAACGCATCAGTGGTTAGTGTCAGCTTTGCGTCGGGCGAAGATGTGACATACGAGAGTTTTGTACAGTCCTGCAGCGCTTACTTAGCACGATGAAAAGAATCTAGCTCGTCCACAGATAATGTAATTTTTCGGGTTCTTCCGCTTGTGCTTGGATAGAAGATTTGTTAGTGGGAGGAGTATGATAGCGCAGTTGTTAATAAACTGTCCATAATAATAAACCACCCCTAAAAATCGTCATAGCTGTCGTAAGGTGGATGATGGTGGGAAATCATTGATAGCCTTGACCTTTTCGTCTAAGGGAGTTAACCCATTCTCATCAATGACGTGACCAAGGAAAGTTAATTTGGGGACGGCGAATAAGCATTTATCGACTAAAATTGAACGTCGTAATGTTGTAATCTTTTAAACACTGATTGAAGATAGTCGCGATTTTCTTCGGGCGTTTTGCATGCTATTAGTACGTCATCAATGTACTCATAAGCATACGGCAGACCACAACGGACCTCATCTATGAGACGCTGGAAAGATTGCGCTGCATTACGAAAGAGTCCGAGATGCATTCGGATAAATTCGTATATACCGAATGGTGTCGTTATCGCTGTCTTATGGATATCAGACGGTTCGATAGGTATCTGATAAAAGGCTTTTCTCAGGTCCAGCTTGGTGAAGACAGTAGCGCCTTCCAGAGATAAAGCAAAGTCCTTGATATGGGGGATTGGATACTTGTCGGGTACGGTCTGAGCGTTTAGAAGTCTGTAGTCTCCACACGGTCGCTAACTATCAGCATCGTTCTTAGGGACCATATGTAACGGTGTGGCATAAGGACTAGAAGATGGTCTTATTATGCCCAGCTTGAGCATATTCTCAAACTCCTCCTTAGCCACCCGGAGTTTAGTTGTGTGTAAACGACGGGGTGACGCGTGGACTGGGGATCCGGTTGTTTTGATTGCATGTGTTTTATTGTGTTTCACGGGTTCCGCATACGTGAAAGGTGATAAGAGAGACTTGTACTGCTTAAACAGGTCTTCGCAACCGTTTGCACTAGGTATAAGCGCAGTTAGTCCAACTGTGGAAAGTCTGGATAATACTCCGCGTCGTTGTATATCCGTGCACATATCAGTAAATGTATGAGACGATAATTCAACAGACAAATCGAAGTGTGCAAGGAAATCTGCCCCTAAAATGGGTATCTCGATATCGGCTATCGTGAAGGTCCATGTGAATTCTCTCCGTAGGCCGATGCTTAGAGACATAACACGCTCGCCATACGTGTTTATAGATGTGCCGTTCGCAGCCTGTAATTTTAGGAGAGTTTGTTTGGGTATCGTTGATAACTTGTTACAATGGCTCAGCGGTATAACGCTGATCTGAGCTCCTGTGTCGACTAGAAATTTTAACTTGCTGTTACTGTCGAATACGTAGAACAGGCGATTTCCATTATCCGCCCTGGCAGCCAACGCCTTCAATGGGTGCCAGGTTGGCCGTTTCCCCGCGCTTTGATAAGCACATGGTGACCGACATTTCTTAGCCCGGGCTCCAAACACTTCATGGTAACAGCAATAGCCTTTCTGGCGGTGACGAGGTTGTCTTGATCGTCGTTGGTTAGCGTTGTGCCGGGATAGTTAAATTACTGCGACTCCTTCTGGGTATACTTTGGATATTGTCGAAACCTAAGGAAAGCTTCCTTAGCTCTGTGGTCAAGAATTGGAGTTTGCTGGTTAACATCAGGAATCGGGTCATCTGATGGCACGACAGAGGAAATTTGGCGAGTTGGTTTTGTGTCCATTACTTTATCAGCGATCGATGCTAGCTTGCGGACATCAACCCCCTCTGTCAAGACGGCTAACATCTGTACTATGTCAGGCTGCAATTTCTCCAGCCACATTTGTTTCAACACTGTCTCGGATATAGTGTTGTCGCCGAGCAGCGTTATCATTTTTCGCAAAAGTTGGGATGGTTTGCTGTTTCCGAGCGTAATATTAGTAAGAAGATCTTTGATCTTTCGCTCCTCAGAACGTCCCGTTCGTTGCAAAATAGTCTGCCTGAGCACCTCATAAGGCTTTTCGGGCGGGAGACTGGTAAGAATATCCGCTACCTCAGCAGCTACCTCCGCGGGAAGCTTCTCTACCCCGAATGCGAATTTCGATTGTTGGGACGTTATGTGTCTGGCTTGAAAAATCGCGTCGAGCTGGATGAACCAAGTCTTTGCATTTCCGTTGTAGGTAGAGAGTTCTAATCTCAGTGCAGCTTCAGTTGGTGGTATCGGTTCTGTCATGTCGACTGAGGTTTTTGGAACAATGTGGTAATCAATTTGCTATAATGCAAACGTCGGCGTTACCGATTTTGTTGGTCGTTGTTAACTTGAACGTCGAAGTGATCACTTTTGTAGTTGCTGTTAACTTGAACGTCGGAGTAATCAATTTTGTTGTTGTTGTTATAAACGTTGGTATCACCATTTTTTTTGGTTGGAAACGTTGTGGTCACCAATCTTTTTGTTGTTATAAACGTCGGGGTTGCCAATTATGTTGGGATTGCTATGAGTTTGAATTTGTTATCAGAAGGTTTTTATATTAAGATGGTTAGTTTACGGGCATATTCACCACATTAATCCACAACAATATAGAATATAGACATTCAAAAACGAATCAATCACAAGGCAATTGAGTAAGAAATACCGATTATGAGATTTCAATAAAACAACGTGCATTTATGTACAATTAATATACAATTTGAAAATTTGTAGTTTGATAATGCAAGAAATTGACCATTAATACATTGGGTTTCTTATTGATTTACAGTTCAAAATTGTTCAAGTGTTTAAGAACTGGTCAAACAGAGTTAAGTGGAAAATATTATTTATACAGAAATTTGTGTAGTTTGTATGTGTGAATAAAGTAGTAGTTTGTAATTGTGAATAAAGTAGGGTTTAATTGTTTGAATTCTCCAGAGCTGTTTACCTTGGATTGTTCTGTGTTTGTCTTTGTTTAAAATACAACATCTATTTTAGTAGTGTGTAAGAACACTTTTCTTAGAAAGTTGTAAGTGAGATGTGAGAGATTATGTTGATGTTTGAGTCAGCAGTTGACGCGCGAAAAGTATCTTAAGTCAAAGTAGTGACACGCGTGGATTTGTGTGGCATCTCTCTGAAGTTTATTGACTGACTGGTGAATTGGGTCGAGATGGTCCTTTTTATTTGTTTCTGGAAACCAAAATAGGCTCCAGCGAATTAGGCGCGAAAACAGTTTTTCGACAATTGTTACATGTCTCGACCAAAGAAAGTCGAAATTTGCAATGCGAGGTGTTGGTTGGTTAAAACTGATTCTGATGGAAGAGTATATTTTATCTCGGAGGTGAGTATGAAATATGGACGATTCTATACTATCACGGAGGGAAGTTATACACGTATTGTTATGATGACAATCCTTTGTGCAAAGAGACTGAATTTCATCTTTCTTGGCGAGATGTCCGTATTTTCGGTAGGAACAGTCCTTGTTGCATGATGGAAGTAATTTTATTATTTTTATTTATTTAATTTATTTTAAATGAGGTTTAAATTTTATTTTATTTACAATTTTCATTATTATTATTATTATTTTATATTTTATTTCCATTTATAATAATAACAATGTTCTCACAGGGTCCTGATCGAAAAGAAATGTCTGCCTGAGAGAGATAACCGTTTTCTGTGTTCCAAGGGCAAATAATTGATATCGTTCCACTTTTAAAGTTTTGTTGTACTTTTAAGAAAGAAGTTTGTTGACGTTTATCATAGATGGAATAATAAACATGTCCTTCTGATCAGCAACACAGCCGGGAATTTATTGCAGTCATCAGATAAATATTAATACAACACCTAACGATAATAGCATTTACTGCGTTCATGAATAAATAATTTATTTGAGATCACTTGCTCAGTTGCCATATTTATTTTAAGAAGCTTTAAAAACGTCAGCCTCTCAAAGTAGATAACAGCAAGTTTATTCTCTCAAAACAAATAAAAACTAAGTTGAAACCAAAATGGTAATATTCACATTGACTGTTAGTGGCAGAGACTAAATTGATATTCATGTCATTACAAAAATGTTTTTAGTCACCATATTGACTTTCTGTGCTGGCGTGTTATGAAATTAGCAGAACTCTTGTAGAATTTTTTTTAGGCTCGGTTTATTATTATTTACTGCTGCAAGCTAGTCTGGGTATTTTGTTTGTTTTCATTTTTTTTTCAAAGATGACTTCATTCTTTGTTGCTTCGACTGGGAGCACTAAAGTGTTTTCGTTTCTTCTCGTTTAAATTACAGAATTCGATTCACTCATGTTTTATGTTTCTTTTCTCAGCGTTTCTTTTCATTTTTAACAATGAAAGAAGTCTATTATTTCTTTTTTCTTGAAAGAAATAGAAACACGTTTACGAACAGCTATCCATAAGCTGTTAGAATTTGCTAATGAGAATAACTTCTCTTATGTGCTGTGTCCTTTCAGAACTTAGGCTATCGTGTCCTTCCACTTCTTCCTGTCCCTTGTAGCTATTAATAAGTTGTGTCTTTTTGTTATTTCGCCATCCACTTGCTCAAACCCATTGAGTATATGGCGTATTACTTTCCCCTGTCCCTCTTTCTCACTATCCGTCCTGTGAGTATCAGATTTTCCAAACCCTCCTTTCTTATTACGTGTCCCAGAAATTTCAGCTGCCTCTTCCTGGTGTTAAGTAAGTTTCCTCTTTGTGTACATTCTCTCCAAATTTTCCATTTTTTTCTTCCTTAGTTGTTTTAATAATGGGTTAAAACTTAATAATTATTTTATTCTCTTCTCCCACGTTATTAACACCGATCCACAAACCATTTCCTCGCAAACTGATGGTGTGTGTGTGTGTGGGGGGGGATAGAATTTTTTTTTCACTCCCCGGCGCACTGGTATGTATTCATGTCTGTTTGGGGACGCACACACCCACCCAATAAAACTGTCAAAAAGACCAGCACGAATCCACCCAGCTCTTATCTTAAATAACAACTCAAAAGAGACTGTTTGACCAACACAAGGACTGACCAAAATTCATGTTAAAAAAATTAAAAAAAAACAAATGAAAACTACAGTCAAAAGTTCATTTTCTCCATCAAGACATTCATTTCTGTAGTTTACTGCTACTAGCAAGCAGATTTTTTTTCTCCTGATGATGGCCATGTTGGCCGAAACTAGTCGAGGAATCTAACTTAAATAATAATAAAAACAAAAAAAATATTAACATATAACCCAGTGTGTCTGAAGATTTTAATTCTTTAATAGTTTTTATTGTTCAATATATATATATATATATATATATATATATATATATATATATATATATATACGAGGCAAATATCCTAATGTCGGAATGTCGGTAACTATACCGGCTACCCCACTTCATGTTCTTGCAAGTGAGGCGGGTTGTTAACAACTCAGTAGGACGTAAAATAAGACCTAACAAAGGACGGAAGGACTCTCGATGAGTCAACGGCCAGGTAACTAGTAGCGATGTCTCCATAAACCACCGTGGAAACCACGGCCCAGGGTCGAATCCTTTGGTTACGGCGCCAACTGTGACGTCGCTCCTCCTGGTCGCTCCTCCTGGTTCCAAGCGTGCCGCTCCAACCCCTTGGTTAGATGATCACCAGCCTCGCCTTTCCCAACCCGCTTCCAATACCTTGTTGCTAAAGCAACTGTACTGATCTCCGGTCTGTCTACCCACGTTGTGTTTAGATCTTAGACAGACGGGACCAGCAGGGATTGGGCCGTATGCAAGTTGAGTCCGACGGGGGTGGCAAAACACAAGTAAAAAAAAAAAAAAACTCACGAGACAAAAAATTACTGATAAAAAAGGGTAACAACCTTTTATATCTAATGTCCGTTACATAAAAATTGTTCTCATTTCCCGACCCGCTCTGTGGACTATGGCACCAAGCTTCTATCATACAACTTAAAGATTTCGAATTGCCTACTCTTTAGAATTATGTATGTCGGGTGTGGTTTAGTTCGACACTGGGGCTAATTTCTATCAATCGTTCGCAGTTGATTCTTCTCTTCGACTTGAGTTGTATTTCTTCCCTTCGATCTGGTTTGGTCGAATTCTGTTCTCGGCTGGGCTTGATTTGATTTCTTCTTCTTCTTCCGTCCAGTAACTCTTTGGCCTGGTCTTCGACTGAGCTGGAACTTTTCCGCTTATTTTCGGTAATCTTCTTCTTCTTCGTCTTAGATGGAACTTCTCTTGTCTTCGACTTGGGCTGGAAATTTCTTTGCGACTTGGGCTGGAAGCAATTTCTTGTCTTCGACTTGGGCTGGAAGGATTTCTTGTCTTAGGATTCTCTTGCCGCAAGGGAGGAATGAACCGGACCCGATGCCCACGTTCCAACTGTTCTGGTCGTCTAACCCGCAACTCAGCCGCAACTCTTCTGCAACTCTGCCGTAACTCTTCTGCAACTCTGCCGTAACTCTGCCGTAACTCTGCCACAACTCTTGGCGTCCTTCGAGTAATCTTCTTCTTCGTCTGCTTGGGCTGGAAGTTCTCTTGTCTTCGACTTGGGTGGAAGGATTTCTTGTCTTCGACTTGGGCTGGAAGGATTTCTTGCCGCAAGGGGGCGAATGAACCGGACCCGATGCCCGCGTTCAACTGTTCTGGTCGTCTAACCCGCAACTCCAGCTGCAACTGATTTCTGTCGACTGGGGTCCTGCTTTTATTGACGCCGCAACAAACCGGGGTGGGTTTGTCGGCGTCAGGGTTTTCTCGATAATTCCAATAGCCGCATTATTTCTGTTTTCCCATTATCGCTATTATTTTCACCCCTACTTCCTCACAGTGCCTCTGGGGGAGGGAGGACGCACACCATTTCTCCCGGTCTCTCGTATGTCAGGTGACCGTTTTCGACCAATGGTTCCTGATCGAACATTCCTCCTCCTCTTTCCGCATGCCACGTGACCGTTTTCGACCAATGGTTCTTGATCGAGCATTCTCCCTCCTCTTTCCGCATATCACGTGACCGCTTTCGGCTAATGAGACTGTGGTGGGACGCCTCCCGTCTCCAATCGGGCGTGGCTTACATCGTTCTTGTTAAAAAAAAAAAAAAATCCAATTTGGTCTCTTTCGCACGCACGAAAAACGATAATCTCGACCTTTTCTCACCTGGGTTCTGTCAACACAGCCGCCGCTAATTAGTTATGACTTCAGGGGGAATTGTTTCCGCCCTTTTGGCGTCCTGTGTGAGCCAAAAGCAATTGTCTTTTTCACCTTTGTATTCGTTCAGACCT